AGCTACAATTAGAAAAATCTGCATCCTTAGAAGAGGTAGATTAGAAAAATCCAAAGTTCCCATCTCTAAATGTGGAGTTGCAGTTAGTGAAAATGGAGGACAGAGTGATGTGTTACTCTGTAGATGGCTCAGTTATTTAATTTTTCCTTCCTTCACGAGAATAAGGCTTTGTATTCTTACACCTGCAATTAAGAAACAGAAAGCTCTCTTCTCCTTTCTCCACCAGGCTGTGTTAGAAGTAGAAACAAATTGACCTCCAAAATGAACATGAAAACTTACTCTTTTTTTTTTTTTTTAACACCCTTGTCTGTTGGTCACATGCCACCTTGTTTTGTAAGAACATATCAGCACCTGAAAGTATCTGCTTTGTTATAGCCCTTGTTGATTGTTGAATTGGTTGTAATTAGAATTTACTCTTGATTTCTGTGGCTTCATCAGTTTTATCCTGTTCCTGCAGCTCCTCTAGGATGCTGTTGAGCATACTTGTCTTGCATTTCACTATCCTGTCACTAAAACTACAGCTGTACTCCGATATAACGCGACCCGATATAACACAAATTTGGATATGACGCGGTAAAGCAGTGCTCCGGGGGGGTGGGGCTGCGCACTCCGGCAGATCAAAGCAAGTTCAATATAATGCGGTTTCACCTATAACGCGGTAAGATTTTTTGGCTCCCGAGGACAGCATTATATTGGGGTGATGGTGTATACATAAACTATTTCCATTCATTGTTCGCTCCCTATAGTTTACTGCTGCAAGGTTTCAGTACATGTTTTACTTTAATGTTTTGGAAGGCAGGGTGATCTGGGGGAATGAACAAGTTGAGTCACAGTTCTGAATTCTAATGTCAACTCTTCCACTGACTGTGTAGGCAAGTCATTAGCTCCCTGCCTCAGTTTCCTCATCCATAAAGTGGGGATAGTGCTTCCCTGCATTGCATTTTGTCATGAGGGCTAGTTAGTTTTTGTACAGTATTTGAGCATGTAATACTAAATATAATTTCTAAGTAATGAGATAACTGAGCAACGGGCTACTGTCCTTTAAAATTAGGCTAAGCAACCTCACTGTATGCTAACAAAATAGTGTTTAAACCAAGCAAGCCAGTAAGATACAGGCATCTAAAAGGCTTTATTTCTAAATCTTCTCTTATTTCTATTTGAGCCATCTTATCTATATATTTGATTAGTCATTTATTAATCAACAGGAAATGTGTAATTTAATATTTGGATGTAGTTAATTATACAGTTGCAAGCCTGACCCTGGGCAGCTGTTTATCTAATTTAGGGGGAGCGTATCCACAGGATTTGGCTATATTAACTAAATTAGACACTGCTTAGCACATGGATTTGAATTTCTCATGAAGACTTCATAATAATCCGGTAGGCCACTGTTTGTTCCATTAACTTAATTTAAAATGCAAAATTGACTGTTGAGAAGAACCAGAATGGCGTATTTTTTTCAGAGCAAAGATATGTGTGAAGTTAACCGTTTGGGAACGGCAATGGCGAATGTTGCTCTGAGTGATGAGTAGGTGGCAGGTGGTATGGTTCCTGTTACCCCCAACTGCTTAGCAGTGAAGAGGTGTACTGTCGTAGACTTCATTATTAAACACAGTATGAACTGGGCTACTGTTCTGTGGAAAGGAGTACTCCTAGCACGTCAGGTGTATGTTACCCTCAGAATCCAGTATGCCCAGCCTAATGTTGTTAGGTATAGTGAAGGCAGTGGAACTGATGCAGGTCTGCTGCTCAGGAGTCTGGCTTAGTTAGGATTCTTGGAGCCTGTTCAAAGAGCCTTTGTCATGGAACTTCTTCTGTATTGCTGCATAGAGGTGGTTTGAGGTAAAATGGTGCCAGTGGATCCATAACTACAAAGATCCATCTACTCCTGAGGGTATTCTGTGCCAAAAAAAAATTAAAAATTCTGCACACGATATTTTAAAATTCTGCAAAATTCTGCAGATTTTATTTGTCAAATACATGTGGAGGCTTCAGCATGGCACTGGGGAGCACAGGCCACTGGCTGCACAGAGATGGGAGATCATTGTGCAGCTCCCCCCCCATCCCCTGTCGGGGTGGTCCAGGTGCAGGGGGAGTGGGGCTCATCGGGGGGGGGGAGAGATTTCTGAGTGTGGGGCGGTGAGGCTCGGCGGGAGAGTCTGCGTATGAGGGGGTCTACATGCATGGGGATTAGGCAGATGGGGAATCAGCTCCCTGTACAGGGATCCCTTCTCCTGCAGCTGAGGAGTGATGGGTGCAGGAAGCAGGGGGAGGGGTGGCGGGGGGCGTTTGCAGAGCTTCCGGCAGCTGTGGGAGAAATCTGGGCGTGGGTCTGACCTGGTCCTGGATGCCATGCAGGGGAAGAGGAAGTCTCGTCCTCCCCAGCCCAGCTGAGCCTGGCGCAGGGTAGGCGCCACCAGCTGGGTCTTCCCCAGTCCCAACCCCCGCCCCACAATGATTTACCTCTGTGTCAGCTGCCCTGGGCACCCAAAACATACTGCTGGGAAGGGTCTCATGACTGCTCTTGTGGCTTCCCTTTGCTTCCCCGTCAGTCATTTTTCTGCAGAAAAACAACAAAATCTGCGGGGAATATAAATTCTGCGCATGCACAGTGGTGCAGAATTTCCCCACGAGTAATCATCCATTTCTCCCTCTTCCCTGCTAGATTCTGTCATGGCCTCCTTCCTTGTGGTAGCTGAGTGCCCAGAGGGCAGCACATTATATGCTAAGTGTTACTACAGTCCTATATTTATTTATTTATAACTTAAGCACCAGCCATCTGTACAAAACGGATTTAAAAGACTGATACAGAAAAACAGATGCATTTAGAAATCCAGAAGGAATCGCTTTAGGTAAACTTATTTAAATGTAATAAGTCGTTCATTTGTGGGCCTCACAGAAGCGAATCTTTTGGTGGGATATGAATGAGCTGTAGGTCCCCTGTATACTGGTATAAGAGGCAGGCACCTATAGATACTACACACAGAGCAGCATTTGAGGGCAAGAAAGTAGAGTAATTTAAATTGTATGTGGTGGACAAGATGGGAAGTCATTGGTGCAAGTTAGAAGTGGGGTGAGATGGTCTAATTAGATGAGATAACATTGGCTAATGCATTTTGGACAGATCGGCGGGAAAGAGGTTCAATATGGATATCAAGTAAACCAAAGAGGAGGTTACTAGTAATCAATATGGAAAATAACAAGGGTGTGAATAACTGTTTACGCTGTTGGGCTAATCCTGTGCAGTGGCTTTGCTACTTGCGTAATGATTTGCTTCCTCACCCCTTTACAGAGTGTTCTGGCAAAGCACAGGGCATTGAATTTGGTACTAAAAATATTCTTGCTGATGAAAACTTTATTTTAAAAATTGGTTCAGCTCACACAAATTAAACACGTTTTCCATCATCATAGTGAACCTGCAATGGCATTTTAAAATAAAGCTGTTTACAAAGCCAGGGTCCTGCCAGGAAGGCATGTTTATTCTGTATTGCTGAATGTATGTTTTTACAATTGGTGTCGCTACAGTAACATGGATTTTTCTCAGACCCCATCCTACACTAGGATATTGACCCATTTCGATGCTGGCTTTCAGCAGTGGATCTCCTTGAAATAGTACTGCAGACAGTTTGATTTGTAGTGTAGATGGGACAAACCCACTTTCAGGAAATGATTAAGACTTGGTTCTGCTGCAACAGCACTGTTGAGTTAAGATTTCCCCCCGTCCCCTCCTTATTGCAGGCCTGTAATGTTACAGCACAGCTGTTCTTCAAAATATTGTCCACTTAATATACTTTTTTGGAAACAAAAGCCTTTTGTTCCTATGCAGGGAAAGGTTAACTTCTGAGAAAGTGGATGTTGAATCAAGGGGGAATGTGGTTGCAGAAATGAAATGGAAGATTTGATTTTTGTTTTATATATTATTTTGTTTCTAGGCCTGGGGGGGAGGGTACCTCCGAATCTGACAATATTGGGAGACCATGGTGTCTGGGAACGCCTGTTCTCTCTGAATCCTGTACTCCCAACAAGGATTTTCTCTTGCACTATCTCACCTGAAAAAAAATGCTTACCTAACCTTTTTAGCCTGGAGGAAGTTGGTATTGTGAAGAGCATCCCACACGAAGATGGCAGGTTTGAGGGTGGGAGCCATTCATCTTGGACTTTTCTATAGTGCCAATCGCTGTGGTATGACAAAATGTCACGTGCAGACAATTAATTAGCTTCTCATTCTTACGATAGATGTACTAACAATTGCAGCATCTGCTGATTTACATCCTCTAAAAGTAGCGCATTTTATTTGCTTTCCCCCACACATTTTCTTAGAAGAGGAAATGTATATAAGTAAGGTTATTAATGGAAGTAGTGTCGTGTCTATTTAAAGAAAAAATCCAGGAGTGCTTTGAATCTATAGCATCCATGGGTTTAATTTATCTTGGTGATGTGTAATCATTTACATTTAGATTGTTATCCTTGTAGAGAAAGGGAGGCACAGTATGATGCTTTTGTATTCCGCCTTCAGTGTTCAGAGCTATAAGTAGCACACTGTGCCTTAAAGCCTCTGTTCTATCCAGCCAGGAAATAGGCTGAACTCACTTTCAGTTGTCTTTCATCAGAAGCCTTGTTCTGTTGGTTTGTGTATAGGGGGAATAAAGTCATGTAGGAGAAACTAAATGAGATGAAAAATGAAGCTTGCAATTGTTTAGGATGGTGTGCGCACTACATGTGACTGCACAACTAAGCCGTGGCCGGGGAGGAGTTATCCAGTTCATTTCATATTCAGTATTGTGTGCCAGGAGGGGTCCTTTTAGGGAACAAAGATAATTGCTCCCTTAGTTGGTGCCTGTTTTGACTGTTGAAGAATGTATATATGCAATAGAGCAGGAAGGAACATACTGCTTGCAAGTGACCCCAGATGAAAGAAATAGACAGTTAATCTTTCTAGAACAGGACCTCAAAAAGGAGATTCTAACATTTCCCCCAAATGTTTGTTCTGAATATTACAGATTCACAGTCAGAGAGCGAGGCTTCTCCTGTGAAACGGCCACGGCTACTGGAGGACAGTAATGACAGGCCTGAGGAAACCAGTCGATCCAAACAGAAGAGCAGACGCAGGTGCTTCCAGTGCCAAACAAAACTGGAGCTAGTACAGCAGGAACTGGGATCATGTCGCTGTGGTAAGTACTGGTTGTCAATACTGTTAAAATTAAGCTTTCTAACAGAATGACATTAGGTACCGTTGCATGGATGGGAAAATGTAGCAGTCATATTCAGACCTTTTAAAGATAAATTTGAGAGAGAGGATCTAGCTTTCATTGGTGGCAAAAGTTACAGTTAATGCTGTCAGATAAATTTCCACTAATGCTCTGTCATTATGTAGAGCCTTCTACCAAAGGATCTCAAATCATTTAACACGCATAAATGAATGTGGCTTCATAACTCCCTGTGAGGTGGATGAATGTTATGCCCACTTTATAGCTGAAGAAGCTTGAAGCACAGAGAAGGTCAGTTGACTTGCTGAAGATCACACAAGTCTGCTGCAGAACCTGGAGCAGAAACACAGGTCTTCCTCTGTCCTGTATGTAAATTACAAGACAGTCCTTTCTCCCTGTATAAGAATCCTATCTTTAGATGGGTCTGTAACGTTCCAAAAAACCACCCCTTTCCTTTGTGCTGAACGTTTCTATGCTTGATGTCAACCCAAAGGAGACTTTTCCATAAGTTGAGGAAATTGTTCAGCTATTTGAGTATTTTTTTTTTGTGGGGGAGGGGAGAGATGCTATTGCCTATGCTGACCACCAACTTGTCTCATTCAGACTGCTCTAAAACTATTGGACTTTGGAACTTGTATTATTACATGTAAAAGGGTTCTTTTGGAAAAGTGATGAATGTGGTAGACACCATGGCCTCGTCTACACTGGAGGGGGGAGAGGGAGGGAGGGAGGGAATCGAGCTAAGATATGCAACTTCAGCTATGAGAATAGTGTAGCTGAAGTCGACGTATCTTAGATTGAATTAAAATTACTTACTTCGCGTCCTTGCGGTGCGGGATCGACGGCCGCGGCTCCCCCGTCGACTTTGCTTCCGCCTCTCGCCGAGCCGGAGTTCAGCAGTCGACGGGAGAGCGATCGGGGATCGATTTATCGCGTCTACACTACACGCGATAAATGGATCCCTGATAGATCGATTGCTACCCGCCGATCTGGCGGGTAGTGTAGACGTACCCCATGGGAGAAATTAATGTCTCATCCACACAAATACAACTGTATTTGTTGTAATCAATTTGCAATACACTCAGTAGACTTGGTTACAACAAACACATGGTACTTTTATTTGAATAGTAATTTTTTTCACGACACAACCATGTATCAACCGAGTTTGTGCTTCCTGCATACCACACTGCCTAATCCTGTTGATGTTCATACATTTGGTGAAGTCTGTCTACTTTTTTCATGATGCCGCAATACAGTAATTGAGTGCTCAGAGGACTTGCAAACACAATGACACCTGTGGCATGTGGACCAATGCACTCTGGGATGTCCTACTACATAGAACTGAGAGGAAGTATTGTCCAAACTGGTTATGCAGGCATAGTTAGGGGGTCCTATCTTCAATATGAAATGTCTTCTGAAAATAAGTGCTACAAAGACAACCATGTACGGCCTAGAACTCTGGTAAGGATGAAACATGTTTAACTCCCTGGTATTGGGTATTAACCATAGATGTGTAAAGAAACTACATGGAGAATCAGACAAACCACTAACTGCTTATACAATCAAAAGTTGTGGTGTAGAGGCTTTAATGGAAGCTGGTTGAAAACTCAGTTCTGGACATGCACAGTAAGGCATCTGGTGAGATTTTCAGCAAACTACTGCAGCCCTGCTCTCTGTGACATAGCTTGGTACATTTTCTCTTCCCAACATGATGGATGCAGAAGCTGCAGCTCTTAGGCTGCGTTTGTCAGAATTTGAATGAGGGAGTTCGTAAATGCCTGCCTGAAATACACACAGAAAAATCCTCCCTAACATCAAGGTTAAGAGAATTTTGCAAGTATAAAAATAAGTGGATTGTGTAATTTTAGTATCAGCAATTTTTGCTGTATTCTGCAAATTCTAAACTTCCATTTAAAAATAAGTTTTCATATGAAGATAAAGCCATCACATTGGCAATCAATATACTGTTGCCCTATCATTGCTAGTTTAGTAGAAACAGGGCTGGCTCCAGCTTTTTTGCCACCCCAAGCGGCGAAGCGAAAAAAAAAAAAGATAAAGCCGCCATCGGCGGTAGCTCTACCGCACCGCTTCATTCTTCAGCAGCAATTCGGCGGCCGGTCCTTCGCGCTGAGAGGGACGTGCCACCCCTTTCCATTGGCCGCCCCAAGCACCTGCTTCCTTCGCTGGTGCCTAGAGCCGGCCCTGAGTAGAAAAGTATTTCCGTCCAAACAGTAGCAACCGCAAATGTGAAAATGCACACCTCCCCCACTATGTGTTTCTCAGTGGTAAAGATTTTATTGTCTAAGCCAGTGGTTCTTAACCAGTGGCAGTGTACCTCTGGGAGTATGCTGAGGTCTTCCAGGGGGTACATCAACTCATCTAGATCTTTGCCTAGTTTTGCTACAAGCTACATAAAAAGCACTAGCAAAGTCAGTACAAACTAAAATTTCATACGGACAATGACTTGTTTATATTGCTCTATACTATACACTGAAATGTAAGTACAATATTTATATTCCAGTTGATTTATTTTATAATCATATGGTAAAAATGAGAAAGTAAGCAACTTTTCAGTAATAGTGTGCTATGACACTTGTATTTTGATGTCTGATTTTGTAAGCAAGTAGTTTTTAAGTGAGGTGAAACTTGGGGGTACGCAAGACACATCAAACTGCTGAAAGGGGTACAGAGGTACAGAAGCCTGGAAAGGTTGAGAGCCATGGTCTAAGGGTCTTTGCACTGTCTGGTTAAACAAAAGTGGCAATTAGATGCCAAAATAATCACAAAAAATTGCAACATAAGCGACAATGAAGTTAAAAATTGTATTTTTTTTTAAAAAAGCTCCTTCCCTTAGTTAGTAGTAGCTTCATGTTATTAAAATTGAAAAGTGTTTAAATTAAAGGCCTGGTCTACATACAGATTTTGTACCAGTATAACTATTTCAGATAGGGATGTAGTTTTTTACTGAAACCGTTACATTGGCACAACCCTGAGATATAATAAACACAATTATATCCATTTTATAGTGCTTTATGCATAGCTTATTCACTGTTCAGTATGGGAACAGCTATACTGGTATAATTACATCCACACTAGGGAGATCCTTTCAGGTTCTCATGAAGTAGCACCATAATACGTAGGGCCCTACCAAATTCACGGCCATGAAAAATGCGTTATGGACCATGAAATCTGGTCTCCTCCCGTGAAATCTGGTCTTGTGTGCTTTTATCCTATATTATACAGATTTCATGGGGGAGACCAGTGTTCCTCAAATTGGAGGTCCTGACCCAAAAGGGAGTTGAAGGGGAGTCGCAAGGTTATTTTAAGGGGGTCACGGTATTGCCACCCTTATTTCTGCACTGCCTTCAGAACTGGGTAACCGAAGAGCGGCGTCTGTTAACCAGGCACCCAGCTCTGAAGGCAGCGCCCCGCCAGCAGCAGTGCAGAAGTAAGGGTGGCAATACCATATCATGCCACCCTTACTTCTGCACTGCTGCTAGCAGCGGCGCTGCCTTCAGAGCTGGGCTCCCAGCCAGCAGCCACCACTCTCCAGCTGCCCAGTTTTGAAGGCAGCACTGCCACCAGCAGCAGCGCAGAAGGGTAGCAGTACCGCAACCTCACCTACAGTAACCTTGTGACCCCGCACAACTCCCTTTTTGGGTCAGGATCCCTTCAGTTAGAACACTGAAATTTCAGATTTAAATAGCTGAAATCATGAAATTTATGATTTTTAAAATCCTATGAGTGTGAATTTGGTAGGGCCCTAATAATACAGACTGGGTTTTTAATGGTTTCAACTGGATATATGTAACTGTTTGCAAATGTTTCTACTAGATTTAGGGTTAATAAAAGCTTGTTTACAAAACCTAAATTTAGGGCCAAATTGTTCTTGTAGAATAAGCCAGGAAATGAAAAGTTAGATTCCGTGCAGCCATGTGGCACATCCTATGCAATTTACAGGATATACTATTAATAACATAAATACATTTAGTCTATGCAATCAGTGAGAGAAACAGGAATAACGAATGCTAATACTGTGTGTGCACTGTGGTCAAACAAACAGTACTGCGGGAAGCTCAGCTGGTACATTGCCTGGCTTTAAGGATGCAATCATAATATTTTATTTAATGTGTATGTATTATAAATAAATTGCACATACGTGATGTGTTAGCATAAAAGTTCGATTTGTATGAGTTTGGGATGGACACATTACAAATAAAAAGTCCCCAGCAACTTATGCGGATCACCCCAAACTGATAAACCTCTATACTTTCACTCATCAACATGTAATCTGTCACAGTTAGAGAAGCTGATTTTAGAAAATGTTCTAGCTGAGTTTATTATTTGTCTATCCTTCTACCTCTAAAGTCAGGTTGCCTTAGTCAGGATGAACCAAGCTAGGGGTGGTAGAAAAAATAAAACAAATATTTTAAAACTCTAATTATTTAAGATGTTGTATAACTCAAGAAGTCATGATTTAAGGTTGCCATTTTGCAAGCAGTCACAACTAGAAATAGATGCTGGGTGTTTCACTGGAAAGCCGGGAATACAGACTTTCAACTGGGATAAAATAAATGTATGTCCTTAGAGGGGTTTGCAGGATACAAAACCTTAAACTTGACACTGGTCCAAAACTAATGAGAGTTCTGGACCCTTTGCCAGTATAACCTTAAATCTTTGGATCCTTCATTCTTATTTGAGGTGAAGGAAAAAGTGTTTTTGGAAGCTCCTCAAAGTTTTTTAATTTCAAACGTAGTTTTCATGGTAGTATTTGGCAGAAAGCAAGCAAGGTGATCAAAAGTACAAACAGTGCAGTTTTTCTCAGCAGCAGAAGAAAGGGAATTTATTGCATGAATCTCATGATTGTATGTAATCGCACACAAATCCATCTGGAATAGCGATTAAAATCAATATAGGCTCCTTTGGCCACTGACCAGAATAGTTGCATTGTCTGAGATTGCACA